AGCCCTGTGAGGTAACTTAATCTGAAAGCAAACACCGTCCAAGCCTTCTAAGATCTCTTTTTGTTCACAGTTCTACCCAAAGTAACCCAAGAGGATTAGGGGTCAGCTGCTTAAAAGAACAGAGCTGGGCCAGTTTGGGATGTGTCAATTAAAATAGTATAGAGACTGACAGTGACACATACACAGACAGGCCTTTTGGCACCAGACTTTGCTGAACTGAGTTGCAAACAGTAAAACTATCAGGTTCAACTAAATCAACCTTAAAGCTGGAAAAGCCCCACCTAAGTCATCTTCCCAAACATTAAGGTTACAAGTACAGCTGTTTTCTAGTAAGATTTTGCTGACCATGAGAACCAGAACAAAGGCTTATTCATTCTTTCATTCATTATTTATGCATTCATTTATCTAGCAAATATTTATGGAGTACCAAGCCTGTATCAAGTGCTACACTAGGTTGTCAGGCTACAACAGGAAGCAAGAAAGATGTGATCCCTGACATCACAAAGCTTCTGTTACTAGCTGTGAAAACAGGCAGTTAAACAAGAAATTTCAATAAACTGTGGTTAAATATTCAGGATCCCTGGAGAGCACATGTCAAGAGTGCTTAATTGAGAAACACAGGAAGTCAGGGAAGACCTCTTTGAGGAAAGGAGTTTTAAACTGAGACCCAAAAGATGAGAGGGGAAAAAAAACAGGGGGAAGAGTGTTTCAGCTAGATGGAACTACATACAAGATACGGAAGTAAGAGAAACACATAGTACCATGGAAAGCTGACAAAAACTGACAGAACCCTGGCATGGGTAGAGCATAGAGTAAGAGGTGAGGAAGGTCAAGCAGTTAACTAGAAAGATTAGGAGGGGGAAGATCACAAGAGCCATATAAGCTATGTTAAAGAGTCTGATATTTATCCTAGTGAAAATGAGAAGTCACTAATTTTCTTAATGTGACAGTTATAAGTTTCTTTCTCTTGTATAGAAATACAAAGAAACAACAGTGTGTTGATATTCACTTTCCAGATAACCTTTAAAAATTAATGTATGAGGTTTGAAAAAATTCCAATAGTTCAAAATGAAAAACGGGTCATCCTCCTTCCCAACCACATCACTGTTTAGGAAACCACTGTTAAAAATATTTTTGTTATGGCTTCCAGGAGAAAAAGTCCTTATCCTCTCATACAAGTGTCTACCTATAAATGTGTGCATGTGGGGGGGGGTGTATTTGTTTGAAACAAATACAAGATGTGCACTCTTCTGTATCTTTCATTTTACTTAATGATATACCTTGGAGATATTTTCAAATGTAGACACACACACACACACACACACACACACACATCCTCGGATGGCATCCATGCCCAGGGTGCCCTCTAGTTTCTGTATTACTCTAATTTCAGTCAATAAGGCAAGCATTGCTGGAGGGTTTTAAGCAAGGGGGAGATATAATCCCCTTTGTGTTTTGGCAAAAATAGCTTTAGCTCTTATTTGAAAAGCATATTGTGGGGGGCAGGAATGAAGGCAAAATAAAAGAGAATGAAGTTATTAGAGTGATCTAATTAAGAGATTACTGTGGCTTAGATTAAGTCTATGGCAGTGAAGTTGGAGAGAAGTGGGTGGATTGCAAAGATAATTTAGAATATGACAGGATTTGCTTACAGAAAGGCTGTGGAGAGTGAGAGAGAAAGCAAGAATCTTGACTGATACTAAGGTTCCTGGTTTGATAAATGGAAAGGGAGGGAAGGGAATATCATTCAGTGATTGATGAAACATCCTGATGCCCACCAATTGAAAATGACCACTCTCTTCTAAACGTTATGTGATTTTGTGTGTCTCTTTTCTCTCACTTACCATGTTCTTTTATTCTAATGAAAGACTTCATTTCTACATTGTTTATTCTTCTTATTTGCTGACAGCTCCTAAGTAGCAGGGGCGGTGTAGGTAGGAGTGAGTAAAGTAGAGTAAGTAAGAACAAAGAAACTAGCGTTTACTGATTCTTTACTTTGTGACAGGTATTGCACTAGGCATTTTTTACAGACATTCTTACATTTTATTTTTCACAGCCTGATTTTACAGATGACAAACTGAGGCTCCAATGACTCTAGTGACTTTCCCAGGATCACACACTTTAGGGACTGGCAGAGACAAGATTCAAACTGAGCCCATGAGCAGTAAAGCAAAAGAAATGTAAAGTAGTGTTGAAAGGAGCCCCTGATGCCATTTATAGAGCTGTTCAAGGAAGGCAGTCAGAAAATACATGTTAACTGACCATGGAGGGGAAAGGAAAGTTCACACAGGAAGGCAGGAAGGGTGTGGGGCAAAGGGAGTGGGCAAATAAGTGTTGGGAGGGAGACTCCACATGAGTAAGGTACCAGGAGGTTGAAGTAAGTATACCTTTGTCCTGGGACCAAAGATTGGATACCTGAAGATCAGCATTGTTGAGAGCTCAAGGATCAGTCTGCAGATGAAAATGGATGGGTGTGGCTCAGAGCAAGAAACCCTCAGACTTGACCAGTGGTTCTTGAAGTATGGTCATCAGAGCAGCGGCAGCAGCGTCACCTGGAAACTTGTTAGAAATGTAAATTATCAGGTCACGCTGCAGATTTACCAAAGCGATACTTGTTATTTTAACATATGTTCCAAGGAATGCTGATGTATGCTCAGTATGAGACCCACTACCTTGGAGGATTAAAGAGACCAGCAAGTAGAATTCAAGAACCAGAGTTTAAGAATCAGCCAGTTTCCCCCAAGGGAACCCAGGACAGTCACACATTACAGCAGTGTAGATCAATCCTTTGCAAGCAGAATGGAGCCTGCAGATCAGAAGTGGTGTAAAATGAAAGAAGCGTGGGTGGACAGTGACATCAGATGTGTGGTCTCTGGAGGAGAACCCTTTTTTACTTGCACCTTTTCACAGAGGCCTTCTTTTCAGAACTGCTAAGGGCAGGCGCATCAGAGGGTCCTGAGATAAAGCGGGTAGTCTATCCATGCCAGGGCATGGACTGTGGCTTTTTAATTTTCACTAGGTACCTGATGCAGTCACTTAATTTGACTGTGGGGAAGATGGAAAGAAAAAGAGCATTTATGGAAGGTCCTTAAGGTGTTGAACACTGTGCTAATGGTGCAAATACCAGCTCACTTAATTCCAGTCATGGGAATATTATTGTTCCTATTTTACAGATGACAAACCAGAAGCTCAGAAAGATCAAATGCTTCGCCAAGGTCACACAGCTCAGAAGGAGCCACACATGACAGAAACTCTGGTCTTTCTGACTTCAAACCTCATGCTTCTAATACTAGATACTGTTCCCCTAACATGAGGGACCCTGTAATCCTCTCATAGCTGTTGCCATTGCAGGATTATACTTTTGTGGTTGTCTATACACCGGTAACCTGGAAATATTGATTGAGTAAGTTAATAAATGAGGGAAGGGTTAGTGACAGAATTTAATAATTAAATGGTTCTTTAACATATTCTGGTCTTGCCCTTCTTAACATTCTCTCAGTGCCACTGAACTTCCATGCTTGTTCTCCAGGGTTAACCACATTTTTCGTGTGGGCACACATAAAAGTGAACAGGTCCCTGGGTTCCCTAAACCCTGCTCATTTACTTTATTTTTTCTAGCCTTACCAGAAGAGCTCCAGTTTCATTTTCATAAATAGTGTCTGTTTACTACAAGATTCCACTTGGGGAAATAGTTCTGCTGCGAAAAAATAACTTTGAAAAATGACAAATATAGACCATCTTCTTCATTTTACAGGGGAGGGAACTGAGTTCCAGAAATGGAAAATGACATTTCCAAGCTCATTTATTTTTTGGTGGCCTAACTAGAACCTAAAAGCCAGGATTCATGAGGCATTCTTCCTTTCTCTATGAATAATACAATCTCTTTCCTAAGGCATGAGGAAAGAAAAATTTAGATTTAGTTGTTGAAAATTTAAAAATGATAACTACTTTTTGGGCATTTACTACATGCCAGTCATTGAGTTAAATAGTTCATGCATACAATTTTATTTCAGTCCTCATAGAAGCCCTATGAAACAGGTACTCATTACCCTCATTTTACAGGGGCAAAACTGATATTTAGAAAGATTAAATAAGTTTTCTAAGGTCACAGAACCAGGTAGTGGCAGATTTGGGATTTCACTTCAGGACGTCTAATTCTAGTGTCCACTCTCTTAATAATGTTGCCATATTGTAATGTCTGCATTGCAAAATAGTCTATAGCAGAAATTTCAAACTACACCTCATGTGCAACATATGGTCTTTTGCTTGCCTTTTTAAATTAACTTTTATTGGTACAGAGATGTACCCAATATGTTATGGTGCCATGCTTTAGTATGATATACAAAGGCTGCATGTTCTTCAAAAAATATTTACTAACTGGCCTTTTACTGAAAATAGTTTGCCAACCCCTGTTCTATAGATATCAGCTTAACCTTTCTTTATGTGACTCCTGAGGAAAGATATCAGAGATATGCCCAGGATTTGCAGAAGATGTAGGCACTGTGTGCCCTCTCTGTGAATTACTGAATGAATAATACAAGCTCAGAAACCTGCCTATCTGGCCTGCTGCAGCCTTCACTGTATTGACTCAAGTGTGTCTACATGGCCTGTTACTTGTTGTCTTTCATGAGTCAGAGCAGAGGTCTTATCCCTTCCCCTCCCTGTCATAAATTCCTTAGAGCCTGGACTTGGATCCCAACTTAATGGGTTTGGTCCCCACCTTCCCCCTCCAGTTTCAATGTCCACATCTGTGCCAAGTAGGGGAAGAGACTGATAATCCCAAGGGCTGCTGTGGCCTCATCCAGCTTCTCTTGATCGCTGAGCATTTCTGAGGAAGTTGAGGCTGGTGGCTCCTCCCCTGTCTCTACTGGTGCTTCTATTTGGCTTGGCTGAGGTGCAGTCTGTGGGAGCAGCTCCTAAGTGTTTAAGCACCCTTACGTACTTCCAGTGTTTTATGACCCAGACTTTGCCCCACCAGCTTAATCTTTGAAAGTCTTCCTCCCTGGACCCTGCTCCAGACACTTTAAATCCAGGAGAGAAAAATGTGTTGAGCCTTCCTGGAGAACAGCATCTGCTCTTAGCCAAGATCTCACCACAAAGTAAGGATACTAGGCGGTGAACCGCCATCATACCTGTCTCCTTCCTATACCTGGGTCTGGTGGGTATATCCATCCTTTCCAAAGAGGCACAGACTTCTCTACCTTTCCTCCATGAATTACTTTGTACCCATTCTTTCCTCATACTTTACATCTTTGAAACATCTTTCTCTTTGTCTCAAGAATGTGTCTTTTTCATGTAATCCCAGATACATAAATTTATACAGCTGGGAGGGTCCTTGTCTAGTTCAAGGCCCTCACTCTACAAATGGAAAGACTGAGGCCCAGAAAAAAGAAGGAACTGGGTCAAGGCCTGATTACTGCCAAAACAAGCTGGGGCTGGAACTTAGGTCACTTAACTCAGGCCAGTAATTTTTCACTACCCTCTATTTCCAGGAGGAACAAGGACATCCTTCAATTTTAAACAAACATAGACTCAAGTTTCACCCAGAAATTTTAGGGCCCATTTTTTGCTTTTATTTTCAGTTTAGTATTTTCAACTTTTCTGGGTCTTCTTAGTTTTTAGGATGTTGCCCCATGTTAATCCACAGTATCCTCTAGCTACACCCAGTCTCCTCGATGGAAGTTATTGGTAGTACATCCCTACGGTTTCACTCTAGGAGCTGCTAGAAATGGGACAGAGTTAATGTACATTTAAAAAGTCTAGCAGTGACTGATGGACATCAGGCACTCAATAAATTTGAAGTTATTTCCCTCATCTCAAAAGGGCTGTCTATATTTCTCCCTTCAGCAGGATTATTGGTAGTATGGTTGTTCAAAGTCCAGACAGACCTAGTAAAATTCTCCCCTCTTTTACTTTCCAGTTGTGTGGGCTTCAAAAAATTACCTTCCCTCTCAGAGGCTGGTTTTCTTCAGTTGTTAAATGACAAGAATTAGAGTATCCCTTTCACAAGATAATTATGAGACTTCAATGAAATAATGCAGTGGTTGCATATGGCCTGATATGTAGAAATCTCTTTATTACCAGTTTTATTTTACTTTATAAGCAAGTACTCATGGCTTCAGAATAAAAGACAGGGCTGATAATTGCTTCACAGCAAGAAGGGAAAAAGTTGGTGAATGTGGGCTCTTTCCACCTACTAACCCTAGCAAAGGACCCCATTTATTAAATGGGGCTGTTGGAATATGTCTCTGAGCTATGACTGGCCACACTGACAGTGAATTCTCCTCCTCCTCTCAGCTAAAACCAACTGCAGTAACAGAAATGCAGCCCTCCCCCTTGCAGTTCCTCTTGAGATCCTAACTGGGATTTGGAAAATACCCGGATATGGTTAAAGAACCATCCCAGGTTTTGTAAAAAATCAGGCGGGAACAAGACATTACAGGAGTTTAGTTCCTGAAAAAGAGGGCACCCAGCACTGCCCCCTCCTCCACTCACCCCACCCAAGCAACACCAGCCAAACTGGAGCCCCAGACTTAATTTATGAGAAAGGCCCTGTAACCCAGGATACTGACTGAACAGGGCTGGCAGACTCAGGCTGGGGTCTGCAGTTCAGCATCTCTAGACTGCTGCCATGAATATGGAAGGATTTTCTTTAGCAAAGGTAAGCCTTCTTTCCTCACCTTTCAAACCGTGCTTCACCTCCCTACTTTGCAAAAACCTTTAATCTGCTGGGAATAAGGATTTCTGGGCCATTGGAAGACAAGGTCAGTGGCTGAGAGGTTGGAGAAAGCTTGGCTGGGCATGCAGGGAAGTTAAAATGGACAATAGGCTCCATTTGTTCCTCTTGCCAAAATGGCCAGGACCACACTGGCTTGCTGCTTCAGAGACAATCCTGGAGTTATAGAGAGTAATTAATTTTCCTGTTGAAATAGTATATTTATTTTGTCTCTCAAAGTTTGAGGGGTTTATTGATGTGACAGATCTGAGCACTGCAGTAATGGGAAGCCCAGACACTTTAAGAAAAGCCCTTGATTTCATATTTTGAGATGCTGATTGGCATAGAGTAAGCCAATAAGTGATAGCTGAACTAAGCTATAAGCTTAAAATCTGAATGATTTCTTATGCTTAGTGTCTAAATAGCAGAAATATTTTAGAAAATATGAGTACAAATTCTTGCATTGGTTTTAATTGGCTGTTTGAACAAACCCCTTTACCTCTATGCCTCAGTTTTCTATACATCACATCAAGAGGTTGAAAAAAGTGGTTTCTAAAAGTCTTTGTTGGTGAATGAATCTATAATGCACTCGATTTTTAGTGAGCATCTATTGTATTAAAAACCCTTTGCTGGGGGCTCAGATATCCATTATTTTGTTTGAGCCTCAAAACAATCCTGTGAGCTAAATATCATCCCCATTTTGAGATGTGAAAACTGAGGCTCAAATAGAGGAACTGATTTGTTGAATGGTTACATAGCTATTATAGTCAAGAGACAGGATTTGAATCCAGGTCTTCTAATTTCAAATCAGTGTACTTTCTATGAAACCACAACTGGGATGTGAGGAAATAGAGCAGTCTCTATAATATAAATGCAAATATGTAGTGAAATCATATTGTCCCAGGCATGGTATGGTGATGATATATTTGATGTGATTGCTAGGCTGTGGGATTAGGCCCCAAAACTTAGGTTCTAGCACTAGCTCTCAGGACTTCAGGTGAGTATCTGCCTCTCTGGGCCTCAATTTCCCTGCCTCTGGTATGCTAGGATACAATGATAACGATTAAAGAATAATATAAATTATACAATCTGGAACCCTGTGGGGATTTCAACACTCTGCATTTTCCCTCCCAGCACAGAAAGATGAGAAAATCCCCATCTGGGGCCTCTTTTGGGTCACAGGGTGAAGGAAGAACCACAAAGTATTAAGGAAGTAGAGGACCAAACTATCAATCTTTGTGGAGGGTTCTATTAGGAAGGCTGCTGAGATTGGAAACAGTACTGTAAGGATAGCTCAGCATACCTGTGTTGAGTTGAGTGATTCTTTGTCTAGGATGAGCCTGTCCAGCCCAGTCTAGCACAACACAGGAAGGGAGATGGAGGGAGAGAGAAGAGCATGATTACATTAAAAGGAAAACATGCAAATTCTAGAGAAAACAGTAATGCAAATTGTCATAGATGATAGGGACGAGGTCCTGGAGGCATTGGAATGACAGGGAGGTAAGGTAAAAGTAGGGGAGACTTGATGCTGGTTGACCTTCTCCCTGTGCTAGTTTCAGTGGATACTAACCAAACTATGTCTGATTCCAAGTAGCCCAGAAATTTATTCCCTCTCTCTTTCTCCAACTTCCTTTGAGCACCTTTTCCTTCTTCCCCTCTGTTTTACTTTTTCCCTTTCCCTTTTGTTTTCTCTTCTCATTCTGGCCTTTCTGTTACTCCCTTCTGCGGACTTAGCTCTGATAAAAGGCCTTGCCCATTAGAAATTTGCAAAGGTCTTTCACATCATTCATCTCATTTGATCTTCACAACAAGCTAATAAGGATTCCAAAGCAGACATTATCTCCCTTTTAGAGATAAGGAAACTCAGGAAATTAGGTGACTTGTTCAATGTCATACAAGTAATAAATGATGAATATAGAACTAGAATCTATTTTTCTTAAAGATCTGAAGTCTTTCAATTTTACCATGAAATATCCAAATGACTCCAACGAAACTGTATGTGTTTTCCCATTCTTCTGTTCTTATAGTGTATGACAAAACCAAATTAAAAATAACAACAATGACAGCAGCAACAAATGCAGCTTTGGGAAGAAATAAAGGAAGTCAGTGATTAGAAGGAAAGGAAAAAAAGTATTGATCAGGTGGCTACTAAGTCCATGAAGCTATCACATTCAAACACAGCTGAAAACAGTACTGAAGCCTAAGTTTATCTGACTCAAAAGTTCTTGTTCTTTTCATTATATCATGTTGCTTCCAAAGAGACTCATTTCAACCATATACATGTGCTTGTATGCTTAGTATATTTTACTGTATATAAGAACTTATGAGTGTGTACATGCTGTGGCTATCCATAAGATGTTAAATGTTTTGTGATCCCAGCAAGTTTCACTTCTAAACCTATTTCCTCATCTATAATAATGCTATTAACACTTTTGATCACTTGTGTACTTGAGCACTTATTTGTGTTCTATGTATTTACAGATCTGATCTTAATTCATTTAATCCTCACAACTATTCTGAGATGTAGCTGATAGTATTAATTCAATTTCAAAGTGAAAACACTATAGATAGAGAAGTGAAGCAGTTTATCAAGTCAAACAGCAAGGAAAAGTGAAGCCAGGATTCATTTAGGTAGTCTGATTCTAAAGCCCATGCCCTGGATGTAAAGTGAGGAAGATGATCTTTATCTCCCCAGAGTTTGAGAATTAGATAAGATGGAAGGTGTGAAAAACATAATGTAAAGTGATAAATGCTTGGCAAATGTTAGGTAGCATTTTTTCCTATGTTCTATTGTGTAGCCCTTTTGGGCATAGTGACCACCTTTAAATGCTTGTTCATTGTATGATGAAGGTTGGTACCAGTTTCTCTTTCTAAAGTTAGAATATTTCCAAGTTTTTCATGCTTTTCTCCAATTGTGAAAGTTTTACCTGGGACGGTTTTCTCTCTAGATAAGTGAGTTTAAGTCACAATGGCTTTGCTGGCACCTCTTTAAGAAGGAAGTATGAAGTTCCATGTTGCATTCAAATGCCCATTTAACAAGGGCACTCCCTCCCTGTTGCGGGTTCCAACACGTGGCTATTTGTATGTCTGTATGTGCTACTATATGTAGGTTTATGTGAATGCAACTGAGTTTCATCAGTTAATCCACAAAACACAAGAACTATATATTCCAGCTCTATTATTTTATAGATGGGGAAACTCAGGTGAAGTAACTTGCCTAAAGCCACTCTTTGTGTAAGTGGTGAATGGGAACTAAAGTCAACTGGTGGGAAAATGTGTGTTTGTGTTTGTGTTACTTTATGTCACTTTAATAGTAGCTGTTTATGGAACACCCACAGAACCCTCATTAGCATGTCTGGCAATAGATATACAAAGACTTCTAAGACACAATATCCATACTCAAAGAGTCTATAGTTGAATCTGGTAAATAAAGACAGGTTATGAGACAGTTCATAAGACAGAAGGTAAAAATAATACAAAGTCTGACTTAATGCCATTGGGTATTACAGAGACTAAATAACCCTTCAGAGGACAGAGGCTAGAGGAGGCCTTCTGGGTCAGTTAGGATTTAAGTTAGCCCTTAGAGTAGAAATATAGAATGTATTATGTGGGGTAGACAGTAATGATAAGTTAACCAACTGTAGACAGGAAGGAGAAGAGAGAGGAAGTAAACCAGTCGTTACTGTCATGTTCTAAACACTAATTGTTCTGGAGCCCTTTCATGTAAGTTTTCTAATATACTTCTCCATTCCCGTGTTATATTATTAAACATATTTTTATATATTATTTTATTATACATATTTTATAGATAAGACAACAAGTTTAGGTGTTTAAGTATTACCCAAGGCTACACAACTGGTCAATGGGAAAGCCAGGTTTTGGAAATAGGAACCTCCCTTATATTAAGGAATTTCTACCAAATGTCATATGGAGACTGCTGATTAACACTTAGAGCACTACTGTGTGTGTGCAGGGGCCTGAGATTTTTTAGGGAATTCTGTATGTCTGCTTATTAATCAGAATAAATATATAGACCTAGTCAGGGTACATATCTGGGAATTTCCTATCTGTATGTGAGTCTACATTATCTTTGAACTTCTATTTTTGATCAATAATCCCTATCTCATATGGTTAGGATGAGGATTTAGTGAAATAATTTATATAAACCACTGAACATGGTGTTCAGTATGTTTTAATCTCTCAATGAATGGCAGTTACCACTATTATTATCATGGATATTATCAATTATGTGTATCTCTGCCTGTATGAGTATATATGTCCATTTCTAGAAGTGATCATAAATACATGTGATTGCATGCTTCTGAGTGTTTGGGATTTTCCCAGATATGGCTATAACTATGGGTATATATGTGTTCTCTGTGTATATGCATGTGAGTGTGTAAGTATGTTTTATGGAAGGTAGTATAGCATAGTGATTAAGAGCCATAATTCTTGGGCTCAGAACCCAACTTTACTGATTGTTATCTAGGTGACTTTTGCACTGCTGTTCTATTGTTTCTCCTTCTACAGTATGGGGATAATAGTGGCATCTGCTTCCTAATGTGGTTGTGGGGATTAAACAATTTAACCTTTGTGAAACACTTAGAATAGTGTCTGGCATGCCAGCACACACAATAAATATTGACTTATTATTATTATTATCATTCTGAAAATGACTAAGGCTCTATATGATGGTGTGGTTTTATGTGCAGATACAAATGTATGCATCTCTGCTTGTAGATAAGAAATATATGTGCCTATATGTATGCAAGTATCTGTATATGTATGTTTATTTTATGTTTTCTGTATTTCTTGGTTTAACTGTAGCTGTGTGTGGTATAACTGAGTGCTTTATCCCAGCCCTAAGAAGTCTATCCTCCTGGCTGATGTACAAGAATGAGAGGCTAGAGGCTTAGTTCTGACTCTGACTCAGCATTGGATCTGTGAAATGGTTTTGTGCATAACAGAGAACATTTCTTTTCAGAAGTTAATAATATTCCCCAATATTCTTATTATATTTTGTTTCATTTTCCACTTTTGTTGAAATATATATGCAAAAAAATGCACAAATGCTAAGCACATAGCTCAATGTATTTTCACAGACTGAATAAACCTGCATAATCAAGTATGTGGATTAAGAAACAGAACATTTGATACTTGTCTTTTTCCACCTGGCTTATTTCACAGAGCATAATACCCTCTAGCTCCATCCATGTTGTTGCAAATGATAAGATTTGTTTTCTTCTTATGGCTGAATAATATTCCATTTATATATGTTCACTGTGGAGTATAAGAACAAAGAAAAAAACTGAAGGAACAAACAGCAGCAGACTCACAGAACCCAAGAATGGACTAATGGTTACCAAAGGGAAAGGGACTGGGGAGTATGGGTGGGAAGGAAGGGATAAAGGGGAAAAAGGGGCATTACAATTAACACACATAATGTAGGGGGGGTGCACGGGGAGGGCTGTACAACACAGAGAAGACAAGAGATGATTCTATAGCATCTTACTACGCTGATGGACAGTGACTGTAATGGGGTATGTGGGGGGGACTTGATGATGGGGGGAGTCTAGTAAACATAGTGTTCCTCATGTAATTGTAGATTAATAATACCAAAAAAAAGAAACAAAAAATTATTAAGAAGCCTTCCTTCTCTTCACTTCCAAGTCATTGATATCTCTCTCAAAGGCAAACACTATCCTGGCTTCTAACAGCATAGATTAGTTTTACCAGATTGTGTACTTTATGTAAATGAAATCACACAGTATATACTCTTTGTGTCTGATTTCTTTCTGCAACATTATGTTTGTGAGAGGTATCCATATTTTTGTGTGTACTTGTAGTTTGTTCATTATCATTGCTGTATAGAATTCCATCGTATGAATAAAATACAATTAACTCACTCATTTCAGTGTTAATAGACATTTTGGCTGTTTCAACTTTAGGTTTATTAACATTCTCTAAATGTCTTTTGGTGAATTCTCATTTGTTTTTAAACACAATTCATAGAGGATTGAAAATGGCAAAAATTAAAACTGGCACGGGAAAATTAGTGATTTGATTCAGGAACTGAGTGGTCTAATCAGGCTTCTGGTGCCTATTACCTGATTCTTGCACACAAGTACATTCTTCCTTCTGCACTGCTGAAGGAACTGGATTCAAATTTCTCTTCTGAAGAAGTGATATATAATTATCAGTATAAGTGACTTTAACTTTGCCTTACAAAGTCCAAAATGTAGAGGTCATTGAATTCTTATTGAACTGAAAGGAATCAGGTAAGGTAGAGATTCTGGGCTAATTGCTTTTTGCTATGTCAGTCATTTAGTCTGGGTCTCGACTCTTTAGTTTTCCAGACACATGCAGAACCCCTTTGTTCTTTTTCTTCCACAACAGCAGCTATTCATTTGCCTGTTTCCCAGAGTAATGAGGGCCATGGAGCCAGGCCATCTCCTCTGGGCTCTGCTGTTCATACAATCCTTGTGTTCCCAACTGGCTGATGGGGCCACTCGAGTCTACTACCTGGGCATCTGGGACGTGCAGTGGAACTATGCTCCCAAAGGCAGGAATGTCATCACAAACCAGCCTCTGGACAATGACACGTAGGTTTAATCTCTTGTGGAATTACAGTTGGAGTTGGGGGGCTCACTCTTGAGGTTAGGAGGTAGCCTCCTGAGGACTTTTGTCAGGATGTAGTAGCAGCTGGCTCCTGATCTCTCTGGGCTGTACAGCCAGTGGTATGTTCCCTGGGAATAGGGCTAGTTGACTTAAGATCCAGCATCCCATATGGAGTCTGTTTTTCTACACTGAGGTGCCTCAACATTTACAGGGTCCTAAAGGTAATTTCATATTCCCTTGATTCTAAGATGATACCTATGATGCTGTTTTAATAATAACAGTTTAGCTTTGAAAAAAAGAAGTAAACATGAAACATATACAGTGTTTAAAAGGTGTGTGTGGTAGAACTATGCTTCCACAGTTCAGTGGAAATATAGTGATTTTTAGAAAGTGTGAAAATATGAGAAAACAAGGTAAGCCTTAGAATTAAGGAAGTAACAATAATAGCTACCACTTATGTAACACTCTGTGAAAGGCACCATACTAGTTTACATACTTTGTCTCACCTTATTCTTACAAAAGCTCTAGGAGTTGAGTATAAATATCTTCATCTTATTGGCGAGAAACCTGAGGCTCAGGGAGGTCAAGTGACTTGCCTCAGTCCCATAGCTAGTAAATGGAAGAGCTAGTATTTGAACCTGGGTAATGTGGATGCAAAACTGATACTTTTTTCACCATTCTGTCTTATACATATCCCATATAATTAACCTTCTCTAATCTTAGAGGCTTGCAGGTGCTCCACAAATATTTGTTGAAAAAAAAATGAATGAATGGATTAAAGAATCTTTTGTGATCATGAATAGCTTTGTCTCTCCAAGGTCTCAGACTTTTCCAAAGTTGACTATAAAATCTCAGAGCTCTCAAGGGAGAATTAGAATAAGAAGAGCAGTTACTTTTTTTGTTTTTTTTTTGGCAAGCCATCTCCCTACCCATCTAGTTTTGGAGTCACAGAGTCTTTCTAGTAAAAGTGTCTTTGAGAGATATCTTTGTTATCTTCCATCCTATACTTTGAAGTAATATTTAACATTTATTGTTTTTACTATGTTTTTAGTCATTGTCCTAATCTCATAATATACACAATGTATTTTAATAATTTTAGTCACCAGTAACAACTGTCTCAGTTTGGACAATGATTATATCCATTTTACAGACAGGGAAATTGTTCACAGGACAGTTAAGTAGCTTGTTCAGTTTCACAGACTTGGAAGTGGCAATATTGGAATTTAATCAAGCCATCCTGTGTCCAGAGCTTGTGATATTAACCACCATGCTATAAGACTTCTCATATATAGCAGGCCACATGGATAGGGAGTTGATCACTTAAAAAGTCAATCCATAGTTGGTTGTCTCCACATTACTACATATTAGGTTGAACCATGTGAAATTGCCTTTTTTAGGTTAAAAGTGGTTAAACATTAGCAATTTCATATGCTTTAACTTAATACTTACCATTGTCTTAAAATTAGACTCTAACCTAAGACTTTCATATTTTGATCAGTACAATACCATTTCCTCTTCTTTTGCCCTGAACAGAGATGGACACTTTTTGGTCAGCCTCCTCTGGAAAAGAACTCTCCAGAGGTTTGAAGATTGTAGCAAAATTGTGACTCTCTCTTTCCTTCTTTCCCAGAGTAGCTTCCAGCTTCCTAAAGTCTGGCAGGAATCGTATAGGGAGCAGCTACAAGAAGACCATCTACAAGGAATACAGGGATGGCTCATATAAAGATGAAATGGCCCAGCCTGCCTGGTTGGGCTTCCTGGGGCCAGTGTTGCAGGCTGAGGTGGGAGATGTTATCCTTATCCACCTGAAGAATTTTGCCACTCGTCCCTATACTATCCACCCCCATGGTGTTTTCTATAAGAAGGACTCAGAAGGTAAATCAGCTCATCCTTTCTGTCTTCTGCCCACAACAAATATCATTTTTCCTTTTCTGCCAGAGAGAGGAGCTGGGAGTGAGGATACTCTTTTCTTCTTTATTGATCTGAGGTGGCATGAACTCTCCTCAGAGAAACTATGGTTGGGTACTGTTATCAGTTATGCTATTCATATACTCTTGACTTTGGGTGAGTCACTGTCCCTCCCTGGGCCTCAGATTCTTCATTAGGAATGTGGACATTCAATCTGCCTTTTATCACAAATAATTACTTGCATGACAGTTCCATAAAATATTTAACTGTGTTTTGTAAAAAGAAGAGTGTTCTGTGAATGTAAGTATTATTCTAGTGCCACAGTCTTTCAAAAGGTCCATCTTTTTTTCTTGAGAGTGAGTTAGTTACTCATCTGTACATTCCACTATCCCAGGCCCAGTGGCCTATAATATTGACACAATAATTAGGGAGGGAAATAGAGCGGGATGTCAGAAATCCCTGACTTGACCACTAATTCTCGATATGACCTTGGGTAAGTTACTATTCCTGTTATATCTTTTGTAAAATGGGGAAGTGGACCAACTAATCATTAATTGCCTTTAGACTAAAATTCTGTGATTGTCTGTTTTCTGTTTTCCAAAGTAAATACTTGAAGGGAGGGAAATCTGTCTTCTCCCTTGCCTTTGTGCCACCAGCTTTGCCCTAGGGCACTGCTAGATCAGGCTGTGCAGCCTTTCTATGTGTATAGATTCTTTCCCCATGGCTGCCTTTATTGATGTGAGGTCTGGGGTTCTTTGGCTAGATATTATTTGAATTTGTGCCCTCCTCATGTTGTGAGGAACACTGCGCTGGACCCTAAAACTCTATCTTCCACAATACTATATCTTGGTGTCCCATATGTTGGCCCTGTCTTGGTTTCTATATCTTTTAGGCTCCCTCTAACTCACCCTGGGATTGGATATGTGCAATTTAATTTTCTAGGCTCCCTATACCCAGATGGTTCCTCTGGTTGGCAGAAAGCTGATGACTCTGTTCCCCCGGGAGGCAGCCACATCTACAACTGGACCATTCCAGAAGGTCATGCACCCACTGATGCTGACCCAACTTGCCTCACCTGGATCTACCATTCTCATGTAGATGCTCCACGAGACATTGCAGCTGGCCTCATTGGACCACTTATCACATGTAAAAGAGGTACAGAACCCAAGGGTGAGCTATGCGATACAATTTGGGATAGTTAGGGGATGCAGTGATAGGGGAGAATCACCTACATACTGAACAGCTGCTGAGAAATGTTAACTCAGCACCCTTGTTTATTAACAGGAACAAACCAAACCCAGCCAAACTCCATTTCTACTCTTTTCCCCTATTTCATTTCCTTTTTCTCTAAAACAAAACAAAACAAATTTTCTATCTTCATATTTTTTCCTTTAAAAACTCAAAGTAGTAATGATGAAAGTTACACAAAAAAGTAAGGTGTGTGATAAGAGTAAGTGTGGATAGCATTGAAGGTGTAGCATCATATTTGGGGAGGATTGTGGATTTGGTTGGAAGTAGGATATATTTAAGGTGTAGTCAGGCCTGAAGACCTGGGTGTTGCAAAGGTGTTGTCAGGTTAAGATTCTGAGTTGGAGGCATAAGTGGAGATGGTGAAAGGGAATTAGTCTAGATATTATGTGACCCATCTTCAAGACTTAGGCTCAGCTGAATTGGTGGCTTTATCTGGGGAATTTAGAAATAGCAATTAGCAGCAGAAGGCTCTACCTGCTTTTCTTTTGCTGACAGACTCTTAAATGCGCCTCTCTTTCTATTCCTATTTTATGAGTATCCCCTTGCAGCTTACTGCTACTAAGGAAAAGAAGTTCTCAAGGGCACCTTTCTTACTTGCCCTAGGAACCCTGGATAGGAATTACCCTCCTCGGCGTCAGGATGTGGACAGTGATTTCTTCCTGCTCTTCAGTGTGGTAGATGAGAACCTTAGCTGGCATATTGATGAAAACATTGCCACTTACTGCTCGGACCCTGCCTCAGTGGACAAAGAGGATGAGGCCTTTCAGGAGAGCAACAGGATGCATGGTGAGCTGGAAGGAGGTGGCTATACCATGACAGTGAATGCTGATGGAGGGTCTCTAATGGGCCTAGCATTTGGTGGGTGCTTTCACATACCTGGTCCTTTTTAATCCTCACAAGGACCAGGAGTATTAGGTGGCTTTTCCATGTTTTACCTATGAGGCAGCAGGCTCCAGGTTTACACAGCATATAAACAGCACAGATAAAATTCCAACCCTGATCTGACTGATCTGACTATTTAAGTTGTGTTCTTGCCATTAGGTGTCCTGTCTCCTAATGTGGAGTAGCCCAGGTTATTGACTCAGAGTCATACATGTGCTCAGTCACTTTGGTGAGGATTCCCACTGATATAATTAGTTAACATTTCTTTATTCTAAAATGGATGCCAGCTAGAAGAATTACCCACTATATGAAAAAAAATGATTGCATGTAAGGGATTTGATCATCTTAATTAAATTTAAAACAAACTAAAGGCACACAGGCCATGAGGCATAGACAAACTCATTTTAGAAATAGAAGCACATTGATTTGCTTTTGTCTAATTAAGAGAATGATTTACCTTTGGTGACAAAGGAGGACTCAAAGCCAGACAGTTCCAAGGGGAGGTGAAGACATAGAGGTAAGATGTAAGGGATAGTTTGGACAGCTTAAATTTCTTAGATTTTATACCAATTGCTTATAATCACCAGGGTTATTAGTCAGCTGACTTGACAATTGCCTGCTGAAATTTCAGGAGGAAATTGGCCTGGCAGGAAAGAAGAGCTTGCAATATAAACTTCATTCCTTAGAAACCTTCCTCAGTCTGCTAAGTTGGAATCTTGGTTCTACCATTTAACAGCTCTGTGGTCTTGGAAGAAATTAACTTTATCTCTCTGAGCCTTGGTTGTCTCATTTTTTTGGGATGAGATCAATGACATCTACCTGTTTCCCAGGGGTCTTTATGAAATTCAAATGAGCTAATGCATATGGTCAGCACATTGTCTTTAAAATATCATTTAAATGTGATCTATTATTATTCTAAGAAGGTAAGCCTTCTCCCATTGGGCTGCCCTTTCTAAACTCTGATACTTTTTTTTGGGTTTTCTTTTTCAGCAATTAATGGATTTGTCTTTGGGAACTTACCAGAACTGAGCATGTGTACACAGAAGCATGTGGCCTGGCACTTATTTGGTATGGGCAATGAAGTAGATGTCCACACAGCTTTCTTCCATGGACAGATACTGACAATCCGGGGCCACCGCACTGATGTGGCTCACATCTTTCCAGCCACTTTTGTGACTGCTGAGATGGTTCCCCACGAACCTGGTTCCTGGTTAATTAGCTGTCAAGTGAATAGTCACTTACACGGTGAGATCCAACATCTCTGACCCTTGAGGTATAGGAGGGAGGTGGCAATAATGGTCATCAGGGACCTGGGTTTCTGGCCCGGAGCTGTACGATAGTTCTTTCAGGTAAAGATGGCTAGTTATGAAGGGTGAAACATCAGACTAGAACTCCTGGCTTAGTCGTTAACTTGCAAGGTGACACTGCGCACAATTCTCCAGGTTTCATCATTCCTATCTCTAACATAAGATGGTATAAGGATGAATAAGTGGACTTTTAAGCTGCCTTTTTTTTTTTGCTCAGAATTCTAAGGAATTTATACCTGGAGGTATTTGTAACTGATTGAACAGGGAATAAAAGAGAGACTAGTTAAAGAAGAGTAAGGCTTCTGCAGAAGATCATGGAATATTAGGAAAATAGTGACACTTTAGTTGGGACCCAACAACAGAGGTAGAAGGTTTGGTTTTCAGAGAGATAGTGGTTAAATGATGGCATAGTGCATTGAAGAGTACCAGAGGAGAGGAGACACATATGAGGCAATGAAAAGAAAACTAGATAAGTGGTTAGAAGATTTGAATTGTTGTCTCAGCTCTCTGAAAAATTCACTGTATAACTTTGAGAAAATTCCCTCTCATTTCTAGGCCTCATTTGACACATCTATGAAATGGAGAATTTAGTCTAAATAGTTTCTAAGATCCTCTTCAGTTCTCACTTTCTAGAATTATTTTATGTATGGTAAATTACATGGGTGCCAGGAAAGTGATACATGAGTATGTGAAAGTGGATTTGAGTAGGTGAGGAGTCATAGACTGGTGGGATAATGAGTCTAGGATGGTAGGTTTGACCCAATAGGGGCTAGTTACCCACGTTCCATCATCCAGGGTCTGCCCTTGGTCTCAAAGGTGCCTGAGTCAGAGAGTATGAATGTGGATGGAGGTTAGGGATGCAGCACAATGGTGGAACAAGTAAGGGCCTTAGAGCCAGAAAAGCCAGGATTCAAATCCTGATTCTGCCAGTTGTTTAGTTACCTTTGGTAAGTCATATCATTTCTCTGAGACTCTATTTTCTCATCTGAAAATTGCAATAATGATTCCTACCTCATAAAGTTGTAATGACGTTTCAGAGAGCTAATGTAATTTTGGAGCTTACAGACTAGTGGAATGATAAGACCAAGGTAGTGGATATAAGAGAAGAAAATGAGCACTCAAATTTGACATTAGTCTCAACTTCATCACTGACCAGCTGTGAACTTAACTGCTCTGATCCTTAGTTGTGTTCGTCTGCAAAAGAGGACTTTAAAAATAAATTTTACATGGAGGTTATGGAGATTTAAGTAGATAACATATGTAAACCACCTGACACAGGGCTTGGCATGTAATGCATATTCATCAAAAATGAATATCCTTTCCTCCTCCTTCTTTGTACTTTAGACTCATATTTACAAATTTCAAATATCCTTGGGATATTGTGAAACTCAAATGAGATAGAGTACCTGAATGACCTCTATAAGTTGCCAAGCAAATATAAGGCAGTATCACCTATTACCACTACTATTACCACTATGTATCAAAGCAGCATCTACATTTGGAAACACTACTTAGGATCTACATTTTTCTGACAGTCGTAAGTCTGAAGTTTCATAGTTGTATATAGAAGATGTTCCATTATTTTTGGCGCTTAGCACTTTATAAATAACTTACTCCTATATTTTTTTAAATTTGATGTTCCTACCAGCCTAGTGTGGTAGATTTTCCTATTCTCCCTATTTACAAAACAATAGTTATTGTTCAGATCTAAGAAGTGACTTGCCCAAGGTTCTACAGATGAGGCAATGGAAAGAAAACTAGAAAACTGATAAAGCTTGGACTTAAACTCAGATATTCTGACTTCAAGCTCTGTAATGTTGCTACAATGTAAACCTTTTGCAGAGGCAGGAATGAAGATCTGGTAATGAGTTAGTGGTGGTGAACAGGTGGAGGTACTTGAATTCCTACCTGGGCTCTCTTTCCCAGCCAGGATCTTGAGGAGTGAGAAAACGTGTTCCATTTGAAGGTATGGGTAAAGAGCCTAGCAGAGGATGGAAGGGGAAAATAGAAGGTAGAAGGTGGGTCATCTGGATAAAAGAACTGTTGGGTGAAATGGGGCTATCCATGATGTTCTTCCTCCAGATGGCATGCAAGCAATCTACAAGGTCAACTCTTGCTCCATGGCCCCTCCCATGATCCAACTTACAGGCAAAGTCCGACAGTACTTCATTGAGGCCCGTGAGATTCAATGGGACTATGGCCCAATGGGGCATGATGGGAGTACTGGGAAGAATTTGAGGGAGCCAGGCAGGTAAGAGTCAGTGGGCTTCCTCTCCCTACTTCTGAGCCAAGCCCCAAACACCTATTACTCCTTCATACATTTTTCACTTAGGAGTCACAATTATTGTCTATCTGGAGTTATAGGACATAACTGTTAGCTAAATTCTTGTGGCCCCTTAAAGAGCTTGCTCTTTGGGATCTACAAAACTGTATGTAGGATTATTCCATATTCCTAGAGAAGGGACTAAATATATTTTAAATTGGTCCTGCTGTATTCCCAGAAGAAGAATGCATTCAGAGAAGAAGGCCCAAGTGGAACCAGATCAGTTAAAATGTCATTTCTCTAACTCTTCTTTATTTTACCCATTACTTAACTCCTTGCTCCTTGCTTTCTCTTCCATAGCCCAAAGGAAGTATTTAAGCAGGAGTGTATAAAGAACTCTGAAAAATATAGGAAGAGGGGAAACAATCTGCCTTGTGACCATTCAATGCCTAGCCTCGTGGAGGAATTTCTCTAAATTCTTCTGCCTCATCCATAACTCAGATGTGGGCAAAATAGAGAAGGTTAGTGCTCTATTCAGTTGATAGGCCTTAAGTTATACTGACTCACTGCGATATCACTGACTTCAGGTCTTTCACAGAAAAGGCACTTGGTAGATGAAAAGGAGAGTTGTGGGGGTATATCTTAGGGCACCCACCATGCTTATTTTCTATCAGGAAATAATGGAACAAATCTATAGAAAATATAAGAAAGTAGGCACTTGCATTTCAGTTGTACTTGCTAAGTTAATGGGCTTTCATTTTAGAAAGAAAGATATTCTTGATTAAGGGAAGAAAGGATCTTGAGTATCTGAGGATGATTAGGACAGATATAAGGCTACATTTATATTCCAGAGGGAAGAACTGGTCCCAGTGGTTGGAACTTACAAGCAACAAGATTTCAGCCCAATCATTAAAACTATCCAGCAGTAACAGGGATTGCTTTATCTGAAAATAAGTTCCCTGACATTGGGAAGGCTCAAGCAGAAGATGTATATTACTTATTAGTGGTGTCACCAGAGGAGATACCTTCACTGGCTAGAATTTAACCTGGATGATCTCTGAGGACCTTCCTAACCATAAATATCCATAACGTGATTAGACCAAGGGTGAGTGGAGAGTCTATTTCACACATAATTGAATCACGTGTCATTTGCTTCCTTATGTGCCAGCGGCTCAAATAAATTCTTCCAGAAGAGCTCCAGTCGAATTGGGGGTACATACTGGAAAGTTCGATATGAAGCCTTCCTAGATGAGACATTCCAGGAAAAGCTGCAGCTAGAGGAAGATAAGCATCTTGGAATCTTGGGTGAGGAATCCTTAACTTATTAAATTCGTTGACTAGAGCCAGAGAACTGGGGAGGACTTAGAAACTGGAGCCTGGGGGCAGCTCAGAGGAGCACTTAAGACCAGCATTTTCCAAAATGAGTCCCAAGAGACAAGTGTTTGGTGTAAAAGGGCTATGGCTATGAATGTGTTTTCAAAACACTAGATTAAACACAGCAAATAGTGTTCTTTGCTGCAGGGCATTTCTGAGACTTGGATGTATTTTCGTTTATCATGAATCTCCAAGACCGGAATGGACTGTGTACTTTACTACTGGACCTTTTCTCAGTGAATATCTTCCAGTAGCACTGTTGTACAGATCACACCTTTAGAAGTTCTACTCTAGGTGTATTTCTGAAGGTGTATAAGACAGTGACACTCTCCAGGTTCTTGGAAGTATGGAGCCAGGAACAGATTGATGTGATATGCTGACATGCTTGCTATATATGGTACAGGATGCAGAACAAGACTTAGAGACTGACATTGAAGAAGACATCCAGAAGGTCTATTGAAATAGTATAGCACAGTATTGAAATAGTATATGTAGCAATGTTGGGTGTGGTGTACTCACTTGGTGGATCCAGGAAATAAATAGATCAGATGGAAGAAAACTTTGGAAACAAAAGTAATGTAATGGAACATATTCTGGGAATAGGTGTATGTCAGTTGATTCTAGGAGATCTGAGCATGGGCAATAGTCCTAACATCAGATGAATATGGAGATTTAAGAAGCAGAAACCCACCTGGAGAAGGAGGGTTGGCAGGGACTATTAAGGAGTTATAATAAGCTGGTGTTCAGTATGGGTCCCCAGGTTTTCTTTAATATTTTATTAGGGTAAAAATACATAACATGAAATTTACCATATTCAGCATTTTTAAGTTTACAGTGCAATGGTATTAAATGAATTCATGATGTTGTACAATCATCACTACCATCCAGTTTAAAAACTCTCTTCATTTTATAAAACTGAAACTCTATACTCATTAAACACTAACTACCCATTCTCTACCTCTGCCCTGCCAAAGCTTCCTGCAGGGCTTTTCCGCTATCTTCTTAAGAAAGGAGCAATTGCTGTTCTACTTTCTGTGTCTATAATTTTGACTACTCTAAGTACTTCATATATAAATGGAATACAATATTTTTCTTTGTGTGACTGGCTTATTTCATTTAGCATAATATCCTCAAGTTTCATCCATATTCTACAATATGCAGAATTTCCTTCCTTTTAAAGGCTGAATTCCATTGTGTGTATATACTATGCTTTGCCTATACATTCATCCATCAATGGACACTTGGGTTGTTTCCACATTTTAGTTATAGGAAACAATGGTGCTTTGAGTGTGGGTGTACAAATATCTCTTTGAGACATGCTTTCAATTCTTTTGGGTATATAGACAGAAGTGGAATTGCTGAATCATATGGTAATTCTCTTTTTATATTTGGAGGATCCACCATCCCATATTCTACAGTGGCTGTACCATTTTACATTCCCACTGGGAGTGAACAAGGATTCCAATTCCTCCACATCCTTGCCAACACTTGATTTCTCTTTTTCTGATAGCCTTCCTAATGGGAGTGAGATGGTATCTCATTGTGGTTTTGATTGACAATTCCCTAATGTTTAGTGATGTTGAGCATCTTCTCTGTGTCTGTTGGCCATTTATATATCCTCTCTTGAGAAATATCTGTTTAAGTCTTTTGCCCATCTGTAGTTGGGTTGCTTACGTTATTTTTTTGTTGAGTTTCAGGGGTTCTCTCTATATACTGGATATTATAGATATATGAGTTGCAAATATTTTCTGCCATTATGTGTGTTGCTTTTTTGCTCTGTTGATAATGTCTTTTGATGAACAAGTTAAAAATTATGAAGTACAGGAGGTGAAGCCAACATGGCGGCATGAGTAGGACAGTGGGAATCTCCTCCCAAAAACATATATATATTTGAAAATTCAACAAATACAACTAATCCTAAAAGGAGACCAGAAGACACAGGGCAACAGCCAGACTGCATCCACACATGCGAGAGCCCAGCGCCTGGTGAAAGGGGTAAGATACAACCCCTGGCCCAGCGGGACCTGAGCATGCCTCCCCCCAGCTCCCGGTGGGAGGGAGAGGGAGCCCAGGACTGCTAAACACCCAGCCCCAGCTACACGCACCAGAGCGCAGACACAGTGCATGCGTGGAGGGCTGGAAACTAGGAAAACAGGCGGCAAGACCTCTGAGTGGGTTCCGAAGCTGATGTCAGTGTGACAGAGAAAAGTAAATGCTTTTTGAAAGTCTTAAAGGGACCAGGATGTAACAGCTGGACAGAAACAACACAGGTCACAGTCCAGTGGCTGGAAATTACAGGGAAAACTGGGTGCACTAACCCCCTGGGCAACAGCTCTGAGAACCCTCATGGAGATAAACAGCCAAACAGCACCCCTGTCCATTACCCCTATGGGTGCTGCAAAAGCAGAGAAACAGCCTAAGGCAGACCATGTCCTCAGAAAGGGAGATTCCTTCAAACCGGCCGGGCAAGACACAAAGACCCAGTCTACACGCAATTACCCAACACAAGCCACTAGGGGTAACAGTTGTCCCAGTAGAGAAAGGCCAGGAGCAAGTGGAAAGTTTGGCCTTCCCAACTGTCATTAGCACCTGTCAACATGAAAAGGCAAAAAAATATGATCCAGACAAGACTAACCCAGACAGCTTCAAAATCTGCTACATCTTCCCCTGAGAAGGAACCTGGGGAGATAGATTTAAACAGTCTTCCTGAAAAAGAATTCAAAACAAAAGTCATAACCATGCTGATGGACTTGCAGAGAAATATGCAAGAACTAAGGAAGGAGAATACAGAAATAAAACAAGGTCTGGAAGGACTTCAAAACAGAATGGACGAGATGCAAGACACCATTAATGGACTAGAAAACAGAGAACACGAATGCAGAGATGCTGATGCAGAGAGTGATAAAAGGATCTCCAAGAATGAAAGAATTCTAAGAGAGCTGAGTGACCAACAAAACAGAACAATATCTGCATTATAGGGGTACCAGAAGAAGAAGAAGAGAGAAAAAGGGATAGAAAGTGTCTTTGGAGAAATAATTGCTGAAAACGTCCCCAAACTAGGGGAAGAAATGGCCTTTCAGACCACAGAGGTACACAGAACTCCCATGACAAGGGATCCAAGGAGGGCAACACCAAGACACATAATAATTAAAATGGCAAAGATCAAAGACAAGGACAAAGTATTAAAGGAAGCCAGAGAGAAAAAAAGGGTCACCTACAAAGGAAAACCCATCAGGATATCATCAGACTTCTCAACGGAAACCTTACATGCCAGAAGAGAATGATATTATATACTTAATGCAATGAAACAGAAGAGCCTCGAACCAAGACTACTGTATCCAGAACGAATATCATTTAAATATGAAAGAGGGATTAAACAATTCCCAGACAAGCAAAACTTGAGGGAATTTGCCTCCCACAAACCACCTCTACAGGGCATCCTACAGGGACTGCTCTAGATTGGAGCACTCCTGAAAAGAGCACAGAACAAAACACACAACATATGAAGAAGGGAGGAGGAGGAATAAGAAGGGAGAGAAATAAAGAATCATCAGACCATGTTTATAATAGCTCAACAAGTGAGTTAAGTTAGACAGTAAGATACTAAAGAAGCTAACCCTGAACCTTTGGTAACCACAAACTTAAAGCATGCAATGGCAATAAGTACATACCTTTCAATAATCACCCTAAATGTAAATGGAATGAATGCACCAATCAAAAGACACAGAGTAATAGAATGGATAAAAAAGCAAGACCCATCCATATGCTGCTTACAAGAGACTCACCTCAAACCCAAACACATGCACAGATTAAAAGTCAAGGGATGGAGAAAGATATTTCATGCAAACAACAGAGAGAAAAAAGCAGGGGTTGCAATACTAGTATCAGACAAAATAGGCTTCAAAACTAAGAAAGTAACAAAAGATAAAGAAGGGCTCAGTCCAACAAGAGGATATAACCATTACAAATATATATGCACAAAATACAGGAGCACCAACATATGTGAAACAAATACTAACAGAATTAAAGGAGGAAATAGAATGCAATGCACTCATTTTGGGAGACTTCAACACACTACGCACCCCAAAGGACAGATCCACCAGACAGAAAATAAGTAAGCACACAGAGGCACTGAACAACACACTAGAACAGATGGACCAAATAGACAGCTACAGAACTCTACATCCAAAAGTAAGAGGATACACATTCTCCTCAAGTGCACATGGAACATTCTCCAGAATAGACCACATACTAGGCCACAAAAAGAGCCTCAGTAAATTCCAAAAGATTGAAATCCAACCAACCAACTTTTCAGACCCCAAAGGCAGAAAACTAGAAATAAACTGTACAAAGAAGGCAAAAAGGCTCACTAACACATGGAGGCTTAACAACATGCTCCTAAATAATCAATGGATCAATGACCAAATCAAAATGGAGATCCAGCAATATATGGAAACAAAGGAAAACAACAACACAAAGCCCCAACTACTGTGGGACACAGCAAAAGCAGACTTAAGAGGAAACTATATAGCAATCCAGGCATATTTAAAAAAGGAAGAACAATCCCAAATGAATGGTCCAATGTCACAATTATCGAAATTGAAAAAGAAGAACAAATGAGGCCTAAGGTCAGCAGATGGAGGGACATAATAAAGATCCGAGAAGAAATAAATAAAATTGAGAAGAATAAAACAATAGCAAAAATCAATGAAACCAAGAGCTGGTTCTTCAAGAAAATAAACAAAATGGATAAGCCTCTAGCAAGACTTATTAAGAGAAAAAGAGAGTCAACACACATCAACAGAATATGAAACAAGAAAGGAAAAATCAAGACGGACCCCACAGAAATACAAAGAATTATTAGAGAATACTATGAAAACCTATATGCTAACAAGCTGGAAAAACTAGGAGAAATGGACAACTTCTTAGAA